CTCGTTGAATGTTTAACTTTCTTAAAAAAAGTTTTACATAATTTAACAAAAGTTATGTGTGCGTCCTATATATGAATTTTAAGTTTATTGGTAAGATTTTACGCTGTAGTAGAGAATCTTGGGTGCAGTTCAATCATTTCGGTTTGTTTTTGTTTACGTTTCGTCTCGAAAGACCAAGTTGTGTTTTATTCGAGAGGACTGGACCGTGAGAGAAAAAAAAAGAGTGTGGTACAAGAAAATAGTCGATTCGTAACAAAGGCAACCTTTTCAATCGCAGAATTATCATTATCGATCACATTGTGATGCAATTGGCTTTTGCAATGGAAACGTGCGCTCCGCGTACTTTCGCTTTCGTGCACACAATTTATTATTGTTTTTATCGATTTGTATCTAAGCGCCCGTTATTGTTGTCGTTTGTTGTTGCTGTTGTAGAGGATTGTCGCTTTTCTATTATTGCAATCGATGCGACAAGGAGGAGTAGAGGGTTGTGGGTGGTTATAGAATTTAGGCGCATTGTTTTCGGGTTGCGATTTGTTTCTGTTGCGCAACGACTGCTTTCTTGGATATTATCGTGGGTTGCGCAACGCTCTGGTCCACCCCGGTATGCGAATGCTTGTATACTGCGTGCGGATTTTAATCCGAGCAAAACAAAACAAGAAGTCGTCGTGTCGCGCATGCATACCTGACCGGTGGCCAAAGGATCCATTTAAGACGACGCTCGTTCCCAGCGATATACTAGATGATGATGATGATCATCATCATCAGCAGTTGATGGTAGTTGAAGGAGGAGGAGGAGATGGAGGAGGCAGTGCCCGAAACAAAATCGGGGCCAACTAATTTCGGTGTACGGCTCTGCGGCATTTCGAGCATTCTTACGACCTACAGAAAGCACTCAATCTTATTCACAATTAATTGCATATTTAAACATATATTAAAGTTATTGCGCTGGACTATTTCATTTTATCCACTAAATTACTTCGCGACTGGAATTTACTATCCAGTGGAAATTTTCGTTTAGGGTTATTAGTAGAAATACCTATTATATTATCCAATTATATTAATATCTAATTAAAGCGAAATTATATTTATTTCATGGATTTTTAATAATGACGTGTTTAGGCTTTTTTTTATCCAATAGTTTGACGTCAATACATATGTATGCGAATAAATCTTATATTGAAAATTCCCGGAGAAAGCTGAATTGACCTCAGTATGAACTGTAAGAGTTGTCTCTTATTAGTAATGTGCGATGATGCGATTTTCTTTTATTCTTTCTTTCAATCATCTGTAAATTGTTTTGATGTCTGTTACATTATGAATATATTTATATACATTTCTTTATATTTCTGTATTGTATCGTTTCGGTAAAGAAAGAATCTTTTTATTAAAGTTAACTAATTTAGAAGTAACTTGGATGTTTTTGTATCCAATTCTACAATACTATTATAGTTACTATGATGTAATTATTATGATGGCAATATTGTAATAATTTGTTAGCACTTGAACTGTAGTTCTTTGAATCACTACCTAGGAAAAAACATGTGATGTTCTTTGAATCTCAGTACAAAAACTAGTATTAATCAGGTATAGTAATTAGTTTCAAAATTCCATGTTGCACCTTTAGAAACAGAAATCATATGAAAATCGAGATACGACAATTTCGACTTAAGTTGTATTGCCTGGCGCATCCACCATTTGTTACATCAATTCAAGCACACATTTTTCAATTTTATTCGCGAAAACAATCTTTTTTTTGTTTTGTTTTTCTTCTAAATTATCCTATTGTTTGTAATTGCGAGTGCATATAAATCCTGCGGCGAGAAGCGCTGCATTTATAAATAAGTGGACGGTCGTTAGATGGTTGCTTGCAGAGGAAGAATGTGGTCGGTATTTGTGTGCCTCTCTTCTCTCGCTCTCCGTGTTTTGGGATAGTGTGAATTGGCCGACGTCCAGCGGCTGCTGCAGTTGCACCGGCGGCGCCACGCCGAGCGTCGCGACGCCGTTGCAATCTCCACCGCCGCCGCCTTCCACCCAAAACCGCATTTCATTCATTCATAATAACGATGCACACGCACACAAAACGGTGAAATGCTCCACAAGTTACTTACGATACGGCATTCCGGGCGTGCCAAAATAGCTCCAGGAATAGCGCGCCCGGCCACAATAACAAATCAACATGCTTCACTCTCGCTTTTCACGACACTCCGAAACGCAATTATCGCCTTAATTAGTCGCAAGTAACGGCGCCCCGTCGAGCGAATTATTATGTAATTATGATGGCTTTTTAATTATCATCCACCCTGCTGCTGCTTCTTGCATAACACGCCAATTTTGTATTTGGTACAATTTATAATGCAGGCAAAGTAAGAGTCAATTTACTATTTGGTTTGTTCTTTTAATTCCGTTAATCTTATGCGATTCTTTCGGAAATCGGAAACGTGCAACCGCAGGATGTGTCGGCGGATCATCGTGGCTCCACCTCGGGTATCGTCACGTCTATTTCAACGCTTTGTTTTCTTTTATATCTTATCTTCGTTGCAATCCCCCAATGGATAACGTAATCTTTCGTACAATTGTCCTTAACCACAATCCGTTGAATAAATTATTATCTTTTGCATCAGATGACCATCAATATGGTCATCTTTATAATAATCCTTCAGTCGATAACGTAATCTCTCTTAAAATTATCATTACAACACAATATTTCAACATCTTAAAAACAATTCTCATTAAATATGTTATTGTTTTTAATAATATTCACGATATGTTCGTAACATTGATTCAATGGTTGACGTAATTATCCTAAAGTACAATTCTCAAATTATGTTATTATTCTTTGCAGACCACAATAAATGAATGATATCTTCATAGAAATTCTCCAGTCGATAACTATAATTATCCTTACTAACTAAATATATTATTTTTCTTAGCAATATTGAAAAACACTTTCATAACTATCTTTCGTTCGATAACGTTATCTCCCGTATTATCCTTTAACACAGTTATTACTTTTGTTGCTCGCACTGCAGATTCAACATTCAAGGACGTTCGGTTTTCAACAACTATTCTAAAAATACAGTATCCTTTTCTTTGTAAATTACGATTGTGTTTCTATTTTAAAGTTATATCAATCTTATCGCGAGTCCCGTTTATCTAAGGCATGCAATTAATTAAATGTCTCAATGCATTAACTCTATAAATATACACAATTTTATACTGTACAAATTCCATTTATATATCAATTGAATTTTGTCCTCGCTTAATTTTTATTTTATTATTTTTTTAATGTTGATCTAACTGTATAAGCAACTTAAACTAAGCGATAGAACGTAATTAATAGAATTTCTAATATGTTTTTAAATGATTCTGGTAAAGTAACGGACGATTGCGGTATTTTTATTTATCTAAAATCGGTGATTACTTGGAGATGCACATGCATTATGAATATGGGTAATTCATGGGAATGTTGAGCGGTCGTGGACGGCTTCCGCTCTCGAAATAATTCGTGAATCACTTTGGAATGAGTCAATGGATGGATGCAAGAAGGGCGGTGTTGAGGCTGGTGGTGTCGGTGGGTTGTTGTGCTCCTTAATGGCAGTGGGTTCACGTCGAGATTTTGCTTGTCGCCTATATATATTTTTTTTACTTCAATTTTAAATAGAATTAAAGTGCTGCTACAACATCCAATGAGTGTGTGAGTGTGTCTTTTAATCTCGAGCACTTCCTGTGTATACGAAAATGGTAAACGACCGCCCCCTTGCACATTATGCACCAGTGTTGGCATACCTCCGTCGGTTTGCTGCAAATTATCGTAATTTATAGTCCGCAACTATTTCCATTGTCTCGAATGGTTATAAACATTATTGGGTGTTGGTGTGTGTTAACCTTTCTTTCTTGCATAATTACTTAAAAAATGGATTTCATTATCACAGATACGATCAATGTTTCAATTAATGTCAACATGTGAATAATAACATGTAAGATAAAATTAAGAAAAAACAAGTATGCAATTATATTTTATAGTATTAGAAACACAGATATTTTTGTTATTGTAATTCATGTTTAAGGTCAACACATTTTCATATTAAAAATATATGGACCATAATTTATAACTGTCAAATAAAAATTAATACTTAAACTTAACATAAAAATAATGGTGACAAAACAAAATAGTAATGATTATTTTATGACAATTTATATTAGTATGTAAATGCAGTCTAATATTGAAGTAGACGATGTTTTGTATCTATCTTACCACAGAGGACGTTTTTGAAAATATGTTTTCATCAAAAGATTTTTTTGTAACTGTCTTAAGTCATATTCAATTGTCATAAATTGTTAGTAAACTCTGCTACCATTTATTTGTATGTTTAAGTCTCATAACACGCATAGTGATACATCAGTGTACTTGCAAAATTATATAAGATATAATTAATCTTTTAACATATTTAAATCATATTCAACTGATACTTTTTAAGGTTTTTATTCGATTTTTTATAAATCGTCAGTATCTTCTACTTGTCTTTGTATTACGTATAAATTATCAATAAAATATCCATATTGTTGAAATTAATATTAGATTTACTATTCGTGCGAGTGTACTTTAAAATAGTATATTGCGATTGTAGACAGGAAGGAAGGATGGAAGGAAATGTAAATAAAAAGAGATTTGTATCGTTTACGAATGTTTTAGCGTGCGGAGCAATAAAAACCTGGCGCTTAAATTGTAAATGTATGTAATGGTATTTATAGCGTGTCTGTGCCAAAAATACATCCGCCATGAAACCTCGGGCGATTTAGACAACATGCAGATGCAGATGGCCTGTCTTTTGTGCCAAGTTCATTGCCGCCTGGGCGCTTGATCTTTACGAGTTTGTAATGTTGAACGTTTCTCCAGAAGCGTCTCTTGGTCATCCTCTTCTTCGTCGCGTTGCGGTTGTTGTTCTTATCGTCGTCACCACTTCGTTATTTTATATTTATGGTGTTGTTCTTTGTTTCAGGGGGAAATTTGCGAACGTCAGGAAGGCGACGCACAAATTAACCGGAGTGAGTTACGCGGCAAAGTACATAAAGAAACGCAGAGGTTCGACGTACTTACTGCCCGAGATCCACCACGAGATAGCAGTCCTGAGGATGTGCGAGGCGAACGATCGCATCGTGCGAATGCACGAAGTGTACGAAACCACGACGGAGGTGATCCTCGTGCTGGAGTTGGCCGCCGGCGGCGAGCTGCAGCACATCTTCGATAGAGAGGAGTGCCTCACCGAGCCAGATGCGCGCAAGGTGCTGAAGCAGATCCTCGACGGCTTATCCTTCCTCCACGACCACCACATCGCCCATCTCGACCTTAAACCGCAGAACCTTCTGCTCAGCACCGACGCGGAGTCCTTCGACGATGTCAAGCTGTGCGACTTCGGAGTATCGAAAATCCTCGAGCCAGGCTCACAAGTACAAGCCATTTTAGGTAAGGAATGGGCGTCAGCCAATATGATAAAACTTTCTTACTCTTACTTACGATGGTGGTGATGATGAAGATGTTGATGATGATGTTCACGCCCGCAGGTACAACGGATTATGTGTCGCCCGAGATTTTACGGTACGATCCGATCACGCTGAAAGCGGACATCTGGTCCGTGGGTGTCCTCTCCTACGTCCTCCTCACTGGCTTCACCCCCTTCAGCGCAGACGACAAACAACAGACCTACCTCAATATCAGCCAAGGCGACGTCACCTTTGAGGAGGAACTCTTTCAAAACATTTCCAGCAGCGCGATCGACTTTATCAGATGCACCCTCGTGCTGGACCCAACGTAAGTTTACACTTGTCTTATTACTAGCGCACATTTTCTACTGCCTTCTCATGCCAAATTGACGAAAATATTAAAAATATATACATTTCCATTCGAAATGAAAAATCTTCCGGTTTCGATCTAGTAGTGGCATTTGACACGATATTCCAGTTCTTATACTTAAAGTGGATAGGAAATCTACAAAATTAAATTTGAAACAAATAATGGTAATATAAAATCAGAAATTTTACTAATTACTGTTGGTTTTATAGGAAGAGGCCGTCAGTTAAAGAGCTGCTTCAACACAACTGGTTGACGCCCAGACTGTCCATGACGAGGACGATTCTGACCCAGATCAAAACGGAGCCCAACAACCAGCAGCAGATTGTCGCCAGATGCAACGGGACAACGGTGACGGCGTCCCCGACGCCCGCTGTGCCCCCCCAATCCTCTGACTGCTGCGTCGTCTCCAAGCAACCCCAGCCCCAGTCGCAGCAACAACGTAAGAGCTTCGAACCATCCCCCTTCGGTGACGGCACACCATTACGATCATTTGCCAACTGTATGTGCGCACAATGCGGTACTACATGCAGACACCTGCCGCACAACACGGTCTCAAAGACCACCATCACCATCGACCGCGGCATCCTTTGCTAGTAGTACCCAACCATCAGTACACACCCCCCCCCAACAACACACATACACAGCCTATACATACAATGTAGCGTTCTGTACCGTTCGTCCGCCGCTTTATCCGTTTTGTTTCGCTTAAAGAGACCCTCGAACAAAACGGAACGAGATACTGAACATTTGTTATTGTGTAATATTTGTGTTGTCCGTCGTGACAGTGACCGTGTTTACCACCATCCCCACGTCCACATCCTCCGCCACGTTTCGTTCCGCACCTACCCTCATCATATGATTACTTGTTGAATTTATCTCTCTCTCTCTTTGTCTGTGTGTTTTTCTGAAACTCTCCAAGAGAAGACTTGTATTGTTAGAAAACAAAAAAATTATATATATATAAAAAATATGAAATAATAATAATGACAATTGAAGCAAGCAGCCATCCACAAAAAGGAAAAGCAAAAACGAAAAGGATCCGAAACCAAACCTGTGCCTTCTTGTTGAAAATTTTCAAAATTTATATAAAAAAAATGTATATACAAAAAAGCGTACGTACGATTTTCATCTAAGAAATTATATTGTTACATATTGATGTCGGTAATCAAACTTGTTTTACGCAATTAAACTCGGTTAGAAAATTTTACTTGATTACCGATAAAATATCCGTATTGTTCCATACCTGCATTACATACACAAACAACCCAATTTACTTTTTAATTATTTTACAACTATATTTTTTCTCGTTTTTTTTTTCGTTACTCCGGTAATAATTACTTTCTGTTTTTTTCGTTCATAATTATAATTGTAATTATTGTTACTATTACCCCCGGATTCGTTCATTAAACTATTATTATTATTATTTCACGTATGTTTCTCTTTTTTTTGCGGGCTGTGGTATTAAAAGTTATATAAAAAAAAATAAAACAAAAAATATATAAATAAAAGAAACTGAAAGAAGAGGAAAATCGTAATGACGTTGGTCTGTTGTTGTTTGCCCCTTCTTTTTAATTAAGTTTTCTTGATTTGTACGTATTAATTATTTCGAATATTTTTAAATGAATGAGTTTTGTTGAGGAAGAAGAAAAATAGAAATTGGTTAGATTGTGAATGATCTTCTACGTTGATATAAATCTATAAATATATGTGTATTAAGAGAAGGATATTATAGAAACGTTTCTGCTGTGTATAATTGTATAAAGAGTTATTATGAATATTAGCGCACAATATATGTTGTTTTTTTTTGTCTGTCTGTTTTTATTTTTCTTTCTTCTTCTACTTCTGCATCATCACCGTCGTCGTCGCTGCCGCCTTCGACTCTCATGTTACATGCATCTCGCTATATCCATGTTGTTTCAATGATTATTGTGATGTTCGCAAAAAAAAAACTTCTGTACGAGAACCCCCGCAAGTTCGATGCCTTCTGTCAATTTGAATATTTCCCCGTTGTATTATTTTCTTTTACTCTTATTTTCTCTTTCTTTGCAGGAATTTAAATTAAAAAAAAAAGCTATTTTCCACATATGAAGCTTTGATACTTTACTGTTTAAGTACATATTATTACGCCAAATTTAGTTAATTTATTGTATGTTAAAATAAATTTAAAAAAGAAAAACGAACCTACCAAAAAATCACCTATTTGATTTTTATATAATTTCCACTTCCCTCTATTTCTTTAATTATGAAATTGGAATAAAAAAAATCATATTTTCATATATTTTTTCTCCATTAAAAGTTACAATATTTGTAAATTGGTACTAAATTTGATTCATTTACAAAATATCAAAAAAAAATCATAATTTCAAGTATTTTACAAGATCTGTATCAAAAGAGTCTATAATTCCAAATAAACTAATTGAATTGACTTAAAAATATACATGACTAAGATCGTATTTCTGCCAATATACAAATTTAAATAGTAAATAATTAAAATTATACATTTACCTAGGCAACCAAACGTAAGTATAATAAAAAATTTAAACTAGTTGTAAGCAGCGCCAAAACTATTGAACTATAACTCTTGTAATATTTCCAATAGATGGTGTTTAGAGTAATTAAATTTAAATATACACATGTTGCTTATTACATTATTTATCAAAGTATAGGAGTATCTATTATTATAGTAGAATATAAATGTTTACAACAAACTTTTACTATTATTGTTTCTAAATAATATTGTAGTTTAAATTTAAACCTTTCCAGCCCAGTTATTCCAAATGGATACATTAATTTTTAAATTCAATTTTGTATTTCGACGATTAAAATATTGAAAGCAACTAATTTGAATGAAGCTAGATCTATTTTTAACAGTAGATAATGAAATAAAACAGGTAAGATGTTTTTTTATGATTAAAGAAGTGCTTTTATAAAGATTTGAATGAAATAAAAAAAAGGAAAAGGTTAAAAATATTGAGATCACATTTGAATCATGATGTATAATAACAGAAATATAAAGAAAATAGTTGAAACATTGTAAAATTAAAGTAACACATATGTGTATATTTAGTTGCATATATACAAAACTAATTGTTTAATTTTCTTCATCCAATTCGAGTATATTAAAAAAAAAAATCTGGATATTTACAAATAGTTAATGGGTAGACAACTCACGTTGGGAATAAAATAAATGGTAGAAGAACTGTTTAATTTATGTTTAATTGTGAAAGAATTACTAGAAAGAACTAGAGCATAGTTCGTAAGTATAATCGAAACATACGTTCATAAACCCGACCTATTTATGGCACAAATGATCTGTATCACGTAAATTATTTGATTGTTCATTTTATAATCCTTAAATGTATCTTCTAACTCTGCTTTTGCTGCTGTGAGACTGTGCACTTTGTCGTTAACTCTTTAGAAAACTATCCAACAAATAAATAAATAATATGACCAACAACGAACAGGTCATATGAAAATTGAATAAATAATAACTAATATTTAAGGGGGGGGAGACTTCGTTCATTCATCTTTGGCTTCTATACAGGTCACTTACTCTCAATGAAACTTACAAACACTCAAACTTGCTCACTTTAGCATCCCATGTATCTGCTTTTAAATATGTTGTTTGATACGAAGGCAAGGAAAACATAAATGAATTTCATTCACTTGTTGGGAAAATCCGGCCAGTAATTGATGTGATAACGGTGAGTCGTCCCTTCGAATAATCTGTCTAGCCAGTTGGATAATCCGTCCAAGAGATTGCCTTGCAACAGAACTTCATCGGATTCCGAATCCGTTGTATCACTATCGAAACCAAGGAATTGTCCCACTTCCGGATCTCTGTCCACCTTCTTCACTCCTTTGTACAAAGCCTATAAAATGTATAGAGATTTTAAAATAAGGAATTTGAATCATTTGCAAATGAATGAATACCCTAAACTTTTTGTTCCTCTCGTTGTGTTTGGCGTGGAACATGCAAAAGTACTTCCTATGTCCGTTGAGTGCGAGAACAGTTCCAACGCAATTCCTAGGGTTAATATTAAGGTCTCTGCCCTCGGGTAATGATAGTTCAAGCAGTTCTTTGTACCAACTCAAACCGCGTTCCACGAACATGTACGAAAACATTAGCGTTTTATTTCTTAAATTGAAATCATTAAAACAAATGCTTATAAGAAATCGATTAAAGCTATTGCTTACTTGCGATAGGGCCAAACGGCTTTGTGGAATGGTGGAATCAAGGTTTGCCTGCTCTGCATGTCCATGACCAAGAGGATTGTGCGACAACCAGGTTTTAGCATTCTGATCAGTCCGTTGTATTTCTCGGACCGAAGCTCGTGCAGTTTCAGTTCCTGCTGATAACCGGCGCCGCCACCGTTTAAGGAATCGTTATTATTCTCGCCCCTGTTCATCTTCGCCTTCTCTTTTTCCACGTTCTCCGCTTCCAGACGCACCAAATACGCCATGATGTAACCCAAGATCACGATGAAGATCATAGTGCCTAGGACGGAAAGTGCTGGCAGCAATTGCTCCTTATCTAGACTGTCGTACAAACTGCCCGTCATCATCACCAATTTCGTGATGATCCTTCCGAAAATCCCTTTGGCGTGTTCATCAAACAGCTCCTGCAAGCAACAATCGATTGCAAACTGGATCTACTTGCTACTCGATGAGCTTACCTTAACGAAAGCCTCGTACGTCAACGCTTCCGAGGACTTCAACAATCGGCTGAGAGTGTTCTCCAGTTTCTGGGTAGTATCGTTAATGTTATCCTGGGTCTCCCATTTATCGCTGACCCACTCGTACTTGATGTGCGTGGTGTCTCTTCGCCAAATGATGACGATCCGAAGGATAGGCTCCAAACTTTCGCCATCTAAAACCCGAACTACTATCAGTATTTATTCCGTTATATTCTATTGCGTTCAAAAACCTGGCATTAAAGAATTAACGAACTCGGTCTGCTTATCGTGGTATATGTAGACGAAACGAACTTTATCCGAATTGTATGGAGAGTTTTGAGCGTAAGTGCGGAAAGCTTCACGATGTGGATCATGGCTATCGCTGTTGCTGGTAACAAGGACGACGCAGAGGCGTTTCCCCCTGGTGTTCCACTCGCAAGGGCACAGGGATTCCAGTATACCTTGCGACGAGAGCCTAGGCAGCGCCAGGTACTGATGCGTCGAGATGATTTGATCCAAAGTGCTCGTTGGGATGTCCTTCATGCTCACAGTGGCAATCGGTCTGCTGATGTTCTCGTTGAACAGCAACACCGTATCCATATCATTGGACACTTGGTACTTCCTGCGAATCTCCTCCGAATCAACGAACCTAAAATGGAAACAAATCTATTGGTTTCGTTCTATACAAAACGATTGAAGCATCCTCACCCGAAAGCAACACGATCTCTGAAGTGGTAAGCGGTGATCAGATACCTCAAACGTATATTCTCACGCGGTTCGAAGATCAAACCTCGAACGCGATTGTCCTCCCATCCGTTCAAAAACTCTTCCACATCTGCATCCTGCACCTTCTGCACCAAATTGTACGGCAACTTCTTCCTTATAAATTCTAAACAAAAACAACAATGATATCAATATAATGTATTCGTTTCTATTGTATATAATGAAATTACCAACGATCTTTTGAAGACTGGTGCCCGTTTCTTTGTACACGAATGCGTTACCGTCCAAAAGAAGCACCAGGCAAGGTAATGAGTGCACGTTCAATCTTCGAGCCAAATTGGGCTCTCGTGCCGAATGCACAGTAACCAAGTTTACGCCCAAAGGACCCAGATATTCGACCAATTTCCTCATGTACGGAGCGGCTTGAAGGCAAGGAAAGCACCAATCGGTGTAGAAGAAAATCAGATGCGGCACCGTTTGACTCCTCGGTATTATTGTCTTGTCGTATTGCCTAAAAAACAGTGTTTATGAATATTCTAACGCGTAGCAATGCATCACTCAAGTACCTAATAGTTATCGATAGCTTGTGGAAAAACGTTATATCACTATCTTGGAAATTAAAACGTCCTCCATGCTGCGCAAAGAGCTCCTCAAAGGGATTTGGTGCATGGTATTGATGGTACTCTGCCCTAGCATTAACATTCTCCTCAGTGATTCCCTTTTGATCATAATTGTACCTCCTTTCAACATCACTCAGCAATTCATAGGATTGCTTGATTTCCACGAACTTGCTCTCTGCTGATGGATCACTAGATTTGTCTGGATGCCTTATAAACAAATAAATAATTTATAAACAGAAATATTATAATTAGCAGAAAAACCCAATCAATATCTTGGAATTGCCAATGTCAAATAGAATTAGCAGATGTGCAATAAAAATAAACAAAATGTGTTTGTGTCTGCATTGAATTGTCTGATCAATAAAACATCACTTGTAGAAATAATAAATTGATTGAAACAATAACAAAGGATACCTGGATTGAAATATTTATAATGCAGGCAACCCAATGCACGGAAAGAATATTATTGTAAACAAAATATAAACAATTGAAATTGTTGAAGTTCTTTATTACCATTCTTTGGCCAATTTGAGGTAAGCCTTGCGGATGTCCTGCTGCGTAGCGGATCGCTTCAGTCGTAGAATCTTATAGGGGTCACCTAATTCCGCAAGGACGGCTGCGGCCCAAAGGGCTGTGAATACCGCCAAGGTCCGAAACTGTTGCGACCATCTCATTTTCCTCTTGCTTCCTTCCAAACCCTTTTTTTCTATTCACACGTAATTGCAGCCCTTTATTACTATGGGACAACTGTGCAACTTTGTCTACGGTAAAATCACAATCATTTATAATATATATTACAATATTGATCTGGATCGCACGCCAGAGCCACCAACGCACCGCACGCGCATCTCGAACCGAACTCTGCCGCAGATCCAGGACAGCAGGACCACAAACTGGGAAATGTCAAAATCAGCTGTCATCTAACTGTCAAAGGCATTTAAACTTTAAATGAAAAAAGTTGGAATGTTGGAATTAATATCAAACAATACTTGAAATATATTCAATTGAATGAACTCCATATTAAAATAGCTTCATTTATATATAAAAATAATATGAAAAGTGCATCAATATTTATTTGTTTTTTCTATTTGAATTCTATATTGTAAAAATTTAGATGAAACGGTTCAAATGTTTTAAATTTTATTGTTCTGCCTTTAAAATAATTATTAATTTGTGTTTCAATGTTTGATATTTTTGTGTGTTTCTAGATCACATTCAAAATAGTCTTAGAATCTATTTATAGAAATTTGGCTGGGGTCTTCTTCAAGCTGATGTGTATAGATAATTATATTTAGTAAATGTATAAAACATGATGATTCATTAAACTTTTTATTCGTTCATATAATAATAATTTAGTTATTAAAAAGAATTATAAACGTTTTGGGGGGGAATGTAGCGTGCGCATGTACAATCTCATTTAATCCAGATATCCTCCATGGCTTTGTCTGACAGTTGGCTGTCTTGCAGGACCTGCAAGCCTCGCAACGTCTCCAGGTAGAACGTCAACTCCGACGTGACGACGCCGTGCTGGGGTCCGCCATTATTTTGAATATTCATCTTAACCAACTGCTCTCTCAGGCGGCTCTTGAAGTTCCTGTGAATAACCAGATACACCTCGCTGATCTGCTTCTTGGGTAGTACACAGCTAACAGCCTCGTGTAACTTATTCAGATGCCTCGACACATTCCGGAACACCTTCGAGGGAACGGGAGGTTTGGCCTCCCATTCGTTCAGCGAATCCCCGAGTAGTTTATTCATGATCGACAACACTTTGGATTCCAACTGCTGGATGTGATGAACTATATCTCTCTCCACTGCATCCAAATTCGAGCTATTGCAGTCCTGCGAGATCTGCTGGAAGTGTCTGCGGACGTGCGGTATCATCCATAGGACCAATTGGAGGGCGCGAGATGTCAACGCCAGATTCGTTGATGTTATGGTGTTCAAACCGGCGGTCCTCAAGGCACTGGCACCTAGCACTAACTGACAGGAGCGCGAGTTGAATGTCCTCAATAATTCCACAAGATTCCTGTAAACTACGTTCGCCAATAGCGGCAAATCCTGGGCGCAAATACAATACTCGCTCACCAAACTGACCAGGATCAAGACCACGCCTACGGTCACAAACTCCTCCCCGTCAACCTTCAAACAACGCTGCATGCTCCGCCTATTGTTGTTATCCACTGGTATCAAATCGAGGACTTTCCCGCAGGACAATTTATCCACTAGCAGCTGGAAACCGAGCGGAACGTCCGCAGCTTTCCATCGTTCATCATCGAGCAGCAACACCAACTTATTCTTTCTAGCCCCATGGAATTTATTCACATAATTACCGGCTTGTATTTTAAATGCCGCCTTCATTGTGGCGCTCCTCTGACCGCAGATCGCTTCGCAAACTTCACCAAATTTATCAACAATCATTGATAATTCTCCAATTTGAACAGCTGTGATGGAATTCTTATCAGACTGATTGTCCACCAGCGAAGCTAATCTTTCATGGCAATAGTCACAAATATAAACAAGCAGTTCCTTCAATTTTAACTCTACTCTCTTCAAATCATCCTCAGTCAGAAACTTTTCCTGCATATCATCCACTTTACTATCATCCAACCTGGTGCTCATCTTGGCAGTTTGCTTAATAACATCATGAACATCTTTAACTCTCTTCATTAACTTTGCTAGAGCTTCACTGGCCAGAAATAGCACTCTAAGCCAGTGGGAACTCTCAAGATTAGGTGTTACCTCCCCTGAACCAGTCAAACACTGCTCAGAATCCTCATCAGCCAATTGTTCAATCAGTAATTGTTTGAATACTGTTTGCACTGCAGTTACAGCTTCCTGCTTATAAGCTTCCAAGAAATTGAAGTGATTCTGTCTAAGTAACCCAGCCACCAAAGAAATTAGTCTTTCTGGTTCAAGAAGACCATCATCAGAATCCAAAGGTCGATGTAAATCTGCAGCTGCATACCTCTCAAACTCACTGCTTAACATTTTATCTATAAGTCTGGACATCTCCTTCAGCTGAGATGGTAAATGCCTCAGACTAGTCACACCTGCTAACTTTCTGGCTAATACTTCTTGTGTTGAACTTATCAATTCTAATGCACCCACATAATCAGAGGAGCTCAACAATAGTTGCAAGGTGGGTTGGGTCTGCAAAACAGTTGCCATCAATTTCAGCTTATCTAAAAGAGAAACCTGATTCCTCCTAGTTCTTGCCAAGTTCAGTAACTTCAAAGGGTCTTGTGATAGGTCCGTGTCAACTACTTTGATTTTACTCCTTAAATTACCCACTTCCTGGCATGCAGTCCCCATCTGCTCCATGATTGTGTCATGCGAGGTCATGGCATGAAAAAAAGCCCCTGACTTCTGTGATACTTGTCTTGCGATCTGAACTTCAACCACATCCAAATAGTGAGTAAGCTCCTCGTGCAGTAGCCTCTCATTTTGCTTGAATTCACAGTGAAACACTTTGTTGAATACCCTGGGATCACTCAACGGGAAACTGGTCATAAGGAAGATGTCTGGTATAGTGTCCAAAGTTTCCTCTGTGTCGTTCTTGCATTTCACCCTCACCTCCACCTTCTCGTGCGAGATTTTCTTGTGTTTCCTGTACCGTTTCCCGATCTTCCGCAGGTAATTATCGAAGTGGGCATGGGTGATGTCTGGCAGGAATGGACTGCTCTCCAGGTCGCTTCTCTCGACGAAACCATCGCCCCACGTCTTCACGAAGAAGTTGCTTTGCTTCCCCTTGTTTGGATCGTTCAGAACGGCCGGCAAGTTCTGTGCGGCGTTGTAAATCGACCACTCGCTCTCCTCCGTCATAACTATTACCATTTTCTCCGAACCATTCGCATACGTTTTTAATCACATCACTACGGAGGCTACTCACTAACATCAAACACAATCAGGTGATCTTTGACAACGTCACTATGACAGCTGTCAAAACATGAGATGTTTATTTATGGCGCTGCAAACGCGCGAAATTTGAAAGAAATGAAAAATTATATTTAAACAATTTAAATTCTTCTGCGTACAAAAATATGTTTTATTATACATATATATATATAGTTTAGAACACGTACAAATTAAAATTATAGAAATAATCAGCCTATCAATTTGTATAGTAATAGTAGTGTATAAAAGTTGGTAATACATTGAAACGTTTAGTGGTTCCCCCTATTTGTGGGATATACAAAAATAAAATCTGTTCAATAAATAAGTAATAAAAAATATTGAAATTATAATAAATTATACATAACACACAAATATAATAATAAAAGTCTAAATTATAAACAACAATAATCACATAGTTTGAAATCACTCTTCTCTTGAAGAACGAATGCTTCTTCCATATAAACAGGAACACACAACACACCATGTGGAATGTTATTACAAAAGAGAATGCATCATGCATATACATAAAATATAATACAAATATGGTCAGCTTAGAGTTTCGTTTTTTCTTTTGCGACTAGTTCATCATCACCAAGTGTAACATTGTTTCATCATTTAAACTAATTTGTACTATAAACCATTCTTTCGCTTTCCAACTACCCGAAGCATTTGTGCTTTCGTAACTAATGATATTGTTTACCTCGTCGACGCCACTCCTCTTTGGGAGGATTGTCCAGTGTCAACGAGCGTTCGGTGTGTTTCCTTTACTGTTGCCGCGCGATCCTGAAGGCGAGCTCGCCGCTGATTGGACGTGACAGTTCTGCATGCAAGGGTATTGAAAGCAGACGGCGCTGGCGTGACCCGATCTCCCAGAGGTTAAAGGATCTCCTGCCACCCACGTATCCAACGATGGATCGTAGACCTCAACGTTTGCAAGGAAATTATTACCGTCGTATCCACCTATCAAAGAAACAATAATATTAATATACTTATAAGAAAAAAGTAAAGAGAAAAAATATTAACCCATGGCATAGATCATGCAGTCAAGCACTGTCACACTCAATGCGCTCCTTGCGATCTTCATTGGAGTAAGGAACTCCCAAGCATCGCGTTCAGTATCATATCTCTCCACACTATTCAATTGGCAGGTCCCGTCGTATCCTCCAATCACATAAATATATTGGTTTATCACGGCCACCCCTGCAACGAATAATAATAATGTAATTTATTTCAGATAATTTTGAATTTTTCATAAAAATACCTGCACCGCTCCGAATGGTATGCATCGGCTTAACCATAGTCCATTCGTTGTTCTCCGGATGGTAGCACTCTACGGTTTTGTGTCTGTTGACTCCATCGAAGCCACCAATCGCATAAAGCAGCCTGTTGACGACGGCCACGCCCACGGCCAGGCGCCTACAGTGCATTGGCTTTATGGTTGTCCACCGATCCGATTCTGGTTCATAACTGAAGAAAAATAAGAGTAGATGATATTAGGTTCGTGGTGGTTCAAGGTGATCGAGATTGAACTTGTTATACTATTCGACACTGCTGTGGTATTTCGATCCTTCGCTGCCTCCGACTGCATACAGAAGTCCATCCATAACAGCCACGCCCACCCTGTTCCTAGGCACCGACATCGGACTGCACGGTCGCCATTGATCTCTGAGAGGATTATACTTATCCACCCAATCGCTATCGTAACTATTGCCAGGAGTGTTATTCCTGCCACCAACAGCGTAAAACGTGCCCTGCTCAAAGCGATGATTAGATTTTTTTTATTTTTGCAAATCGTATTCTTACCCGTAGAAACGCAGCTCCAAGACCGGATCGCGGAACGGTCAAGTTATCCAGCTGGTGCCACTTCTTATCATCCACATTATAACCTTCTAGAAGTTCCAATGATTGCTTGTAGTAGCCACCGGCTATATAGATGATCCTCGGCGAGTTGGGCTTGCGCTCCTTGACGACAGTTCGTTTGTGCAGTGTTAGGTCTTTGAAGATACTCTCGAGGTATTCCCTGCAAGCGGGCGTTTTTTTCAGCACATCGCAGTTGGTCATCTGATCGTTGAGGAACTTGGGAGTGAGGAACTGACACCGAACGGCGCTTAGAATATGCTCCATCTTCATGTGTCTGCAGTCCTCGTCGTACTTGACCCACTTGAGGACCGCGTCGTAAACCTCTTCTTCATCCTGCACGTTGAGTTCGTCTTTCTTGATCAGGTTAATCAACTGCATTGGGCTAAGCTGCAGGAATTCCTCTTCCTGGCTGATCTGACTGAAGTGACGTTCTATGTACTGATTCGCCTTCTTGCACATGTCGTTGCAGCCGTGCTGTTCGGCAAAGTTTGCGATGCCTATGGCATTGCTGGGGTCCAGCTGTCGCTCCAGGAAGTCACAGCATGCCTGTATGACGTTAGCTACCTGGAACATGGTCGCGGCTGGCAACAGTTGGCAGACGGAATTCTCCGTCACCCGGATGCGACCTGTATACATGAAGTGTATGAGACGACCCATCGCCGTCGGAGAAACACCCTGCAGCTTTACCCGAGTCATCCCAGACTCGCGCAATCCACCGGTGAACATCGCTTTAAAATACGGACTGGCGGCGGCAAGAACCACGCGATGCGCGTGAAACAGTTCCGTGTCCACCTCTAAAATCACGTCCGTCAGCATGTGGTGACCCCTCATCATATCCATAGCCTAAAACAAAAATCATTAAATAAATATCTAAAAACACAAACCCATTAGTTGCATCATTTAAGGCGATTTATTTACAGGACAAATAGAAAATTGATGTCTCGAAATCTATTATCTATCCACTGAGCAAATATACGTTGTTATTGAGGTTTAGAAACAATAAATAATCATATTATACACGGTGACTATAATAAAAGTAATCGTACACTACTCAAAAATTAAGCTACCGAAGCCCCAAACCGTCTTCTTTCACTGTTTGATCTAGACTTCCCACAATTTTGGAGTTTTGGAGCATTCTACGGTGGAGCGTAGTTTACAGTATTGACAACGATACAAGTATTTCAAATTTAAAAATAAAATCTTCTATTAACATTAACTTTGTTGACAGAAAATGTTTTTTGAACTTTTCAGACATAATATAAAAATAAAGGAGAGAGCGCTCACAGAAAATATTCAGATGAATTAATAGAAATTATTATAAAGCTCCGTTTCTCAACCTATAAGTCACAAAATTACAACTGTCGCCATGTCAAAGCGAGGAACTTGTGAAAAACTTTAGCAATTGAGTTGCAGTAAACTGCAGACAAATATGTTGAGTTATTCAACAAACAAGCTGAGAAACGGTGTTGTGGGGGTCGCGAAAAATACATGGGGAGTGGCAGAAAAATAGGGCGTTCTTATTTTTTAAGTGCAAATCAAAGGATCTTTTAGGTGTAGAGAAATAACAAACATAAAATATATGAATGAAAACTGATTTATGTTCGTATCAAGAAATTGCATTTTAATTTACAGATCAGATTTTTTTTTAATATGTTAAGTAAATATTGTTTTGAATAAAATGTATCGTATACATGACGTATTTTTGGGTGATAAGTCTAATATTATTAAAACAATCACAATTTTAATGTCAAAAGTTTAGTGCCATTTTTTTTGAAGCTGATAAAAGTACCGGATGAAAAACGTTTTATTTTCATATATTTATTAAACATTTTCCGATTAAATACAAGTTATGCAACTAATTTTTGAAACAATATTATGATGACGCTCGAAATCTGCTATCTTCAAATTTAATTTGCCGCCATAAAAAAATATGTCAGACTTATCAACTTTATAAATTTCTGCTAAATTTCGGAAAATAATAATACTCTATGTAAGTTTGAGCCGCATTACACGAGCTTTATGTTATATGAATAATATCTGCACATTAAATTCAACCAAAAAACGCCAATTTTGTAAACTTCGCTTTTCAAAATCATCTTCTTCTGATCATTACCTTCATAGCATCTTTGATATATTCCACCATCATGAAGCACATATCACCAAGATCTGCGTTGCATCCAGAAACTGTCACTCTTGACGCCTCCACCTGGCTGTGCTGTCTCTTGACCGGACGATGGGCCATGGATAGTTGATGACAGCACGAATCCTCTTCACCATCCATTCTACAAAACATAACAACAATAAACATCTATTAGAACGTATTCTCAACTTAAAGTTTATTATTCAATTCAACATATTACATAGATATTATACTTTTTCGGGACCACCAGCCGTGATTGCATGCCACTTATCACCGATATGTAGTCAACCAAAAAAAAAAGAGTCCGATCCTTTATCTATCGCTGTCGCCGATTTTCTGAATTCCGAGCGCCGCTTTTGTGACGCACAAAAATCAGTGACAATAGGAAATTAATGCCTCTTCCTCTACCATTACTTATGATTTCAATAATCTTTCAAAAACTATTAGCAAGTAAATAGAATATTATGAAGCAAAGATAATTCGTCTAATCGTATGCAACGAAATATCGACTGGTCACGACCGTCGAACAGCTACATTACGTAACCATGACAATAATTGTAAATTCTTTAGTTAATGTGTATTTAGTATTTTTTTCTCTCATCTCTTTTTTGTTGTTTCGTTGCACGTACTAAACAACAAGTATGTATGTGTGTGTATATATTTATAAAGCGATAAAAGCCGAGCTGATATTACAATGTTACATGCTTCGAAACGGGAGAGAGAGAATGACATTGCAGTTTCGTTCCCTGGTAGAGTAAGTAAGTACTCCACATGTATGAATGTACGTGTATATGTGCTTTTCCAGATATGTATGTACGTATAAAACAAATTGTAAATAACCTTCGCGATATGTGCACAGCCAGCATGACTGGCCCCTTCGTAGCTAGATACGATAATTTTAATTGTACATACGAAATGTAGCAAATAGCACGTAGGGGAAAAACAACAACAAAATTTGATTGAAAAATTACATCTTTCGTCAACCGTAATTAAAATGAAATGAAGAGTCATGCTCGAAAAAAAAGTATACGAAAAGTGCGTTGAAACAAAAAAAAAGTTACCATAGGTCATGAATGCGTTGCGTGATTGCAGCAGCAATAACAATAACAAAAAAAGCGTCTTCTTGAAACTTGCGGCACTTTGTGTATTTCAGTTCAAAGAGACTCAAATCCAATAAGTTTCGGATTTGAATAGATCTCAATTTCGCGTAAATAACTGAAAAACACGTAGTCATGGTAATTAATTAAAGTAAAAATCGTAAAGGAAATGAACTTGGGATAGTCCTTAAATGCGTCTCGTCTGCATACTGATAGAGGAAGTGGATGTAATAACAATAAAAACTTGGATTTCTAGAGTAAATGTTGCTATTGGTAAATGCAAAATTTTGCAAAATTGAAGGAAGTGTTGAGGTGCAAAAAACGGTGTCAAAACTTGTTGATCAACAACGCATCCGAAAAATCACCATGGCAACGCAAATGTGCGCGTCTAGGGAAATGTGCGTGTTTATATCTTGGTTTATACGATGTAAAAATGTAAGTTACGCACCCCAATGATAAAAACAGACGCCGGTTTCCTCTTTTGGTTGCAGAGGATGATATATAGTGATCGTCTTAATTTCTAGAATGTGGATTCGGCTAGAAGATTAATGTAATCCGTTCGCACGCTGCAGACACCACACATACGCGCACGTTGGAGAGGTTATCCAAGACACGTCGTAATCAACGGCGATTCGATGAGCGACTGAGAAATTCGCGACTTATGACATATGATCAAATCGAGGGCACGCTAGGAATGTTGATGTGTATGTGTGCGTGGTGCAACGTTGACGTTAATCTCTTCCTCTCTCTTTTCCCCCTTTATCTCTCTCGCGCGCACTGAGATTAAATATACAGAATCGGGCTAATCCCCTAAACGAACCATTATTTAATCTACGATAGCTGCGATAATTAGTGTGGATATTCACCACAGCACAATTCGATGCCATGTTGTTATGACATTTGCTCTTGACACATTTTTGACAGCGGCAAGAGAGAGATAGAGTAAAGTTGACTCACATCTGTCAAACGCGAAAGGTGCAAAAATGGGTTTGTTTGGGAAGACTCCGGAAAGAAACCCTAAGGATATGGTAGCTCTTTTAATTATGCACAAGCTTTACTTTGATTCTCATCTCGCATTAAATTGGCTCGCAGGTGAATGAGTGGACGCACAAATTGCGGAAAGAAGGCTACCAATTAGACAGGCAAATCAGAGGTAACAGAGAAAAAAAAATGAAAATAGTTGTCACACCTTAATTGCATTATTTGCAGCGATACAGAGGGAGGAGGATAAAGTGAAGAAGAGTCTTAAGGAGGCTGCAAAGAAGGGAGATAAGGATGCCAGTGTCATACTGGCGAAGGAGATCATAAGAGCTAGGAAGGCTGTAACCAAAATTTACACCTCGAAGGCTCACCTGAATTCTGTGCAGCTGCAGATGAAAAATCAGCTGGCTACTTTAAGGGTGGCTGGTTCTTTGGCGAAATCCACTGAGGTTATGCATGCCATGCAGAGGCTGGTCAGGATACCAGAGGTGGCACAGACGATGCAGGATATGTCTAAGGAGATGATGAAGGCGGGTATCATCGAGGAGATGCTCGACGAGACTTTCGAGGGGATGGAGGATCAGGATGAGATGGAGGACGCGGCGCAAGTTGAGGTAAGCAAACATATATAGTTATCTCGGAGTAGGCAACCAGATGTACGTTTGTTTCAGGTCGATAAAGTGTTGTGGGAGTTGACCGAGGGTAAACTAGGCGAAGCCCCGTTACCGCCCGTCGGCGATACCGGAATGGGGGAGGCTGCAAAACCAGAAGTGGAAGAGCACGAAGAGGATGAGGAAGAGCTGGAGGAGATGCAAAGTCGCTTGGCAGCGCTTCGATCGTAATATCATTAATTCAGAGTTTAGATATTTTTTATATGTATACACACACATACTTAATTTATTAATGTAATTAAATAATTTAGTGCTGGCACTTGTTTAATTGTAATTTGCTAAATAATAATTAAAAAAATAAATATGCTAATACAAATACATAAAATACTTGATGTAGGCAGCAGTACATAAAATTGAGATTAAAATATAAACGGGCTTTTCCTTTTTAAAAGCTGAACACAAACCTATCTATCGCCTCTTCTTCTTCTCTTGTTTGCGCACCCTGTGATGCGGTCTTCGAGGAGTATTTTGCGGAGTGCTATGCTCGGAACTCTCGTCATCGCTATCCCCCTTAAAAATTAATATCATTATCATTATTAGTACGAAAATCACCGATTTTCTAAAGAGTTATTCACCCTTAACCACTCGCTCCTGTCTCCGTCATAGTCCGGTTTGTAGATGCATGCTATTAAGCAAATTATTTGGAAGATCGCCGAAAAATATAGACCGTAACGGACCACAGTTGCGGTCATATCCTCCACACCGATATTAATTGCAGAGTTCATTGTTGCAACAAATCAACAAACAACCACACAAACTTGACAATTGTGCAGCACCTCTCAGAACTGTCAAAACAATTGTTTCATATCAGGGCTGCCAAAGTTTTTACGAAACTTCGTGTTTTGGTCGCTGCGAGGTGCAATCGTCGATCTTAGTTCGAAGGCAGCAATAAGTGTGGCGCTACTGGTGACTATTTTCCGATTAAGGATGAAATCAAATGGCCGTTTTTGACTTTAGTTGGTCAAAATGGTTCAAATCATTTGAATTATGAATATATATATATAAATACACTAGCTTTTAAGAGTTATTAACAAATTTAACTTAATAAAGTTTTGTATTTGTCAGTACGTTGTATGGATATGGATTAAAGTTTTTGAACTTGGATCACTCGAAAAATGACTGTAGAGCAGTATCTGTTAAACTTTTTTACCTCACGGCACACTAATTTTGTTAGCGAGAAGGATGCAATTGCCTTTGAGAAATAATTAAGTCAAAATGTTCTTCCTCCGTTAATGGCAAGTCCGTACTGTCGTATTTTGCAAAAGGATTGATGACCATCTCAAGTGATGAAAATACTTAGAAAATAATACAGAGAGGTTTCCAAATGTCTTCTGCTCTGCTGACAAAATTTAAAATTTGTTAGGAAAACAGTCTACGCTTTTAATTTTCCTGTAATTGTGATAATATTTTGGTGTGCTCCTGTATGTTAAAATATAAAACGCTCAAATTTTTAAATTGAGAAATGTTACTTTCAGCCAATTTACTCTTTTTATAAATTCAAATTCAGAAGTTTTGGTATCCATGAAATAAATCGTGCGACTATTTTTCCTTTCGAGAGCAATTCCGTATGTAGCATTAATCAGAATCCATTTTTCACATAGACATGCACATGCATTGTTTCACATAGACTGCAATACAGTGGAACCTCGCTTAACGAGTACCTCGCATAACGACCATTTCGCTTAACGAGCAAAATGAATTGTAAGAAAAATGACTCGCATAACGAGCGACGTTTCGCATAACGAGTGACGATGAGAAGAGAAGTCCCGGATTGCGCGCCATTTACAAAATTTTAAAATCATATTATGTGCATTTTAGAATATATTATCTTTGATTTTCTTTCTCATCTTTGTTAAAGCGGACTATACTTTGAAAATATTATTTGTATTTGCTGTAAATGCAAAACGCAAATGTTTGTGTTCAACCATTATTATAATATATAAACACACTATGTACGCAAGTCACCGAATTTATACAAGTAATATAAACAGATATAAACTTACTTCACCGTGTGTGAATTGGAAAACAGTTTCTAGTTAGTCGTCATTCTTGTTTTATCTTAGAATTGTTTGTGATCACAAAATTTCCAAACCTGTGTTCAGACATGTTATTTGTGTTTTTTTTATGCAAAATTTTATAACACTGGCATCTCCCGAATAAAAAGCTATAGAATAAAAATAATCATAGATATGAAAAGAAAAATTTTGTCAACATTACATGATGGAGCGCCATCATCATTAATCAATTTTTATAAATATTTTAAGTTACAAGAAGATATAAATTATTTAAAAAAAAAAATTATAAGTTATTCAGCTATTTTACATATATAAATCGTACAAATCGTAATAAATATTCACAGTCGAACACGGGCATTCTAATATACATTGTTAAATTACAAGCAGCGTGTAGTGAATTCCTTCTTCATCTTATCCCAGTTCTCTCTGCCCATCTCGTCTTGTATCATTCGGTAAATATGTTCCGACTTTTTCAGGTAGAACGTATCTTCCTAGAAAACTAATAACAGGTTTAGTATTGAACTCTATGTCAACATATTTATCCTTAAGCGGATTAGTCTAAGATTTTTTGGATCTCGTATGCATTGAAATTCCCTTCACGTAATATTGTAAAGCAGGGGTCCTCAACCTTTTTGCACTTAAGAAAATAATTTAAATTTCTATATCTTTTTACAATAAGATTATAAAATATAAGAAATACTTCGCTTAGTACTTGATATACGATTCCGCCAATATCTCGGACTATATGAAAGCAGATTAATCGATGCGTCTAAGTTTATAAAATATTTCCTTTTAGCATTTATTCTTTTGATGTATAATTTTGAAAGTAAATGATAAATAAAATATAATTAAGCGTATATTGTATTATTTTATTAATATATTTGACTCATGAATCCGACTTATGTTTGAAAATATAAATTTGAGTCTTCTGAAAGAAAATATGGATCGACGTGAATATCAGCATTCGTGGAAACATGGTTTAATGTATAGAATACATGAGGACGAATAATGAACGAAGTAAATGTATTCTGTGTGGAAGTGGAGATCTGCATCTATTTAAGTGGAATAAAAATTCTAGTCTTTCCAGTGTTTAATCTCATGTTTGTTTGACCTGCAGGACGTGAACAACGTGATCGTGAGAATTTATGGTACCTACGATTCTTGCCTTCTGAAGTATATTCTTCAGATATTTCTACACTAGTTGGAGGGCGTTCACTCTTAGCTAGCTGAGATAGCTCCTTCTGATAGTTCAACGTTCTGGCTAAATCGTCAGCAATATTGCCTAACTCGTAAACAGTTTTTTTCTCAAATGCATTCATAGCAGTACGCAGGTTGGCCGGTAGTCCCATTCTCCAGATCTCTATAACTAATTTATACGAAAAGATTGATAATCTTCTGGCCAAATTTCGTAGATCTCTTAAATATAATGACGGAGTGCGATTGCCCATCTCTTCCTTCATAAGCATATGCATGTCTCTTTTGCATCTCTCTTCAACCAATAGATCCTTCTGTGTGTGTTCGAGCATCATTAGGTATTTATGGTCCAAGCTCCTGATTATTAATTCAAACTTGTCAGAATCCGTGAAACTTTTTACAGTTTCAAAAGTTGTTTCTACAAGTTTGAACCACAACTCTGGGTTCGATGGTATGAAAGCTCTAATATTTATACACTTCTTCTTGCACGTGAAAAAAATATTAAACTAACGAATGTTCTATGACGTCGGTGGGTTAACTTGAGCTGCGCCGGGGTATAACTGAATTTTACAGAATACCTGACTTTCTCGACTTGCCTTACAATTGCTCTTGCAACCCCCCCACTATACTTATCATCGCATTTTTCGTTTCAATACTAACAGAGGGCGCTATCATTGGAATGCAAGATAAGCAATGTTCATCATCTTTTGCTTACTTATAAAAGGGTTGTCTGTCATATTTAAAAAAATGGCGCGTTTTACAGACGGTTGTTTTCGTCGAAATCATCACAAATATCAGAAGAAAAGAAATCACCGCAGGTCCACAAACTGCGACTCTTTGGATACTTCCACGTAATTCTATTGTAAAGCAGGGGTCCCCAACCTTTTTGCAACCAAGAGCACATTGTAGAATGCTGGTCGGGCTTCAGGCACCAATTATTTTTCTAGGTAAATTTATAGTTGGACATAGTTAATAATACACATAAATAAAATAAAGGAAAATGTCTTCCTAGAAAACTAATAACAGGTAAAAAAAATGTAGTATAAATACACTGAAAAACAAATTTTTAGCATCAGTTGCAATTGAACTCTCTTCGTAAAGAGAACTTTAAAGTAGAAATATTTTTTCACTTATTTTGTATCCTCTTTATAATACATTCATCTACTGAAATGGTAAGTGTAGATTTTATACTTTTGATTAAATTGTTTTTATAAATATGTCTTTTTATTTTTAGCATCCCAAGGAATGTGAAATATTGATTCGTTCAGTACTGAACTCTATGTCAACAGATATATCCATAAGCGGATTAGTCGAAGACTTTTTGGATCTCGTAGGGATAGAAATTCCCTTCAAAGAATATGGATTTCCGACTTTGGTAGAATATTTAAATTCCATTCATTGGATTCTACATGTATGTCTAAAATTATTTATTATTTTTTATTCAACTCTTATGTGAAATGTTTTATTTATAGGTTGATCTGGATGATGATATAATTNNNCGAATGATACAAGACGAGATGGGCAGAGAGAACTGGTATAAGATGAAGAAGGAATTCACTACACGCTGCTTGTAATTTCACAATATATATAAGAATGCCCGTGTTTGACTGTGAATATTTATTACGATTTGTACGATTTATGTATGTAAAATGTATAGCTGTAATCGAATATAATATTCAAATATTTATTTAGAATACAATTTCTAACTTAAAATATTTTTAACATTTATTTTATTTATCATTAGTGAAGTTATTGTTATCAAAATAATTAAAATAAATTGAATAATAAAAAGTGTGAAAAATTTGTTACAAGATAATACAGAATATACTATATCATATTAAGAAAAATATATAACAATACAAGAATTAAATTTATTAATAGTTTTGTTGCTTAAAATATAAATATCACCTACGAACTGCACTTAGGTAGCCACAAGTTAGTGTGGAAATTACTATACATCATTTCTAATATATTCATTACTTATGAGCTAGTCTGTTAAAATGTTCAAAATGAAAATAAACTAAATCTTAAATAAATTGAAAATGTAAATTTATAAATTAACATTTCTCAATTTTAAAATTGATCTTTCATATTTTGTATTTTAGTTCAGTGCACGTCAAATTTATAGCGTAGTTTCAAAGAACATTCAACCAAATGTACAACATTTGTAGGGTAGTACAAATGAGAAGTTAGTTCAAATAAACGTTAGTGTAAATTTTGAGTACGTTTTTGCAAACAAAGAGATATGTGAACATGTTCAACAATTCGTCGGATTTTCAATAAATAGTTTTCAAAAACTCACTTATAATTAATATTATAATAATAATAATTATGAAGTTGACTTCCAGATTGAAAATGCTGTTATTCAACATTTTTGTAACCTTATGTTATAGCTACTTAGGTTCTGTTCGTATTTTGTAGGAATTATATAAACCTTTGCTTTATTAGTGCAATAATCAAATGATAAATATGTTCTTGTATCATTTGATAAATATGTTGTCTCATGAAATGATATAATGAACAATTTTGTGTTTTGTAATGTTTGTCCTGGTATAATATTACTTAATGTGTGTCAATTTGACACTAAGTTCACAAGAACGTCATGAGCGAAAGGTTATAAACATTTAACGTTGTGATGTTCAGTGTTTCTTTATTATGCAATTAATCTGTTAGCATTAGCTAATTAACTGGTGGGAAGGGAATCTATGTTGTACGGGTGAGGCTTGTGCTTGGATGATGAGCAAATTTAACGCCTATCGGATGATTTTGTATTATTGTAAGATGATTGTCCTTTTTTATTATCACATCAATAATCGATTTATTTAGAACTAGAAAATTGTTCCAGCGAGTGATTTCCTTCAATTAGGAGATAAGTTAGTAACTATAATTAATAATGAATAAATGAATGAATATTTTAATAATTCAATTTAATACAACAATTTGCAGTAATTTGGTTTACAGAGTTTCGCCGCAGCAAAGCGGATTGAGGAAGAAGTTGAGTGAACTTTTGTTCGCCCTCAATTCCAACCATTGCTCCTGATTTGGTACATACATTTCGGCCGGCATCAATTGAGCATCATTGTTTCCATGATCTAAAATCGAAATCAAATGAAAAAAATGGAAAAAATAAATAAAATCAAACCGCACCAATTTTCTTATGCTTCTCGTGCATTTTAATCTTCTCGCCCGGATTCCTCAAAAGCAGCCTCCCAACACCTTCGCACTTCCTCAGCACCTCGTTCTTAAGCATCCTATTACGAATCGGGTCGCTGACAACTTGCGATTCATTGATCCACAGCGAAATCCCTGCAAAATCTGTGAGCAACTGCAACGCTCCAAACTCGGAAAACTTTATTCTGTTCAAATAGATATGATCGAGGAGAGCTTCGCAAATCAGTTTCAAGATCATGTTGCAAATTAGGTAATCCTCGGTCGCTTTCAAGACGGGCATCAGAATTTGATCTGCAAAAATTATATTATCGGTGTTTCATCGATTTCGAAAAATTCTCGTACCTAAATATTTATTGACGTAATCACTTTGTACTTCCGGTTTCTTGTTTCCGGTCTTAAACCAGTAATTCCCTTTGGGAAATATCATTTTTAAATGAGCCAAACAAATTGTAGTGCAGACGCTGGCCAAGCAGTCGACGCATTCCTTCGACGTATCCTTGAAATGAAACATTTACTGTCAAATCTCGAGTAAAATATTAAGCATTATAAAAACGTCATTTTCATTAATATACAAGCAGATGTGACAGTGATTAAGAGTGACATTTGACGTTTTTAAAGATATTTGACATTTTCGTCTGAAATCGGGACCAATGTCCTCGATTTGGGTTTCTTTAACGCCATTTAAACATTACAACGAAAAGAATCCTCCAGTATTGATGAACTCAATGCGACCGTGTATAAAGCATGGGACGAAAAACACGCGGAAACACTAGACAGTGTTTTCATTATATTGCAGAAGTGTATGGAATTGACCATGCTTCAAAACTGCTTTTGCAGGGAACATTTTTAGCACCTCAGGAACTTGACCGATTGTAGTTACTAATTTATTAAATGTTACTCATAAATGATAATTTTCAAATGTTTTCGATTTTATGATATATTTTATGAAATTAGACACTTATTTTGGAAGGGAGAGAGTATTTATTTTAAGTTTTATTTGCAAATATTTTATGCTCTATATTCAAGATACTTCACGTCTTTCGTTAGTTTCAAATGCTAGTCAATTACCTTTAGCTTTTGTATGTTGGCTTTTATCTCGGACACTAACTTCTCTCGCATTTTCGCGCAGACTTCGACGTGTACTTGCAAACCGCCTTTGTGTATCTGCAGAGTGTGATCGACCAAACGCACGTTGTTCAGGTGAGAAAGGCAGTTCACGATGTCGCAGTGAGTTATCATGAAGAAATCATAGACGTCCCAGTTGTTTGCTAATTTCTTCGTTTCATTTGCCGCCCATAGTCTAGTGGTGTGAACAGAATGATCTGAAAATATTAGATTCAAAGCTATTCAAGTAGGTAATTTGGGATTGCAATATCAATGATTCAAGTGCAATACTTCGGTTATTTCAACCATGGCGTTTAGCATATAGTGGGCACAGTAATGGCTTGTCCACACTGGCTACAAGGTGCTACAGCACGAATATAAAAAGAAACATTACTATTATCATCGTTCTATATTTTTCATTATTTATTTAGTGGTCATATGGTAATAAAAGTCTAGTGTAAAGCTAAATAGTCATTTACTAGAAACATACTACTAAATGCAGATAGCTACAATATGATATAAGAGTGAAATCATTGCAGCCCAAAATATTTTACTATTACAGCTGCAACCACACCACAAACTCTTACGTGCCGCCACTGTATGGATACAAAAAAAAACAAAAGTTACGTTACCTAGTCTATGCAAAACTGGAATTTGTTCAACCAACGGTAGCTCTTCTAAAGGAGCCCCGACAATCCATTCGTTGGTGACTTCACACTGATTCGAAAGCGAAATCAAATCTTGTAGCATTTCACAGAAAAGTTGTCCAGCATTGTGACACCCTTTCGAAGCAACCAGAGCCAACCGGAAGTTCCGATCCCAAGAAGTCGATGTTATATGAACGCCTAAACCATCCGCAAGACTAGTCAAAGTTGAAATAATAAACACAGGCACATCGGCTATAATAAAAAAAATAGTACAGAAAGTTATAATAATTTACTACAAAAGTAGATTAAAACCTGTGGGCGTAAACTGCGCTATCCATTCTCTAAGATGCTGACTGGAATGCGGAGGTCTGGATGCTAAAGGCGATGCGCCCCACCAGAGGATGATGTGCTCAAGAAAATTCCCGACTTCTCCCCACAAAATCTCTTGGTAATAATTAAGTACTTTCTCTTGAGCCTTAGAACTTAGTTTAGATTTTTTTATGCTATCGTTTCCAAGCATGTTCGGTGAGATAGTCACAGCGACGTCCAACAATTCGAGAACGTTTTGTTCCTCGTACTCGATTAATTTGTCCAAATTTAAAAAGCTGCCCTCTTTTACAGGAGCTTTCGGTTTTTCGAAGGTTGCCTCCGTTTTCGGAGACATGTGATTAGTAAGTGCTCTAAACATTTAAATTAAAATATTTGTAGAAATGTTATAGTCAAAATGTAAAATTGGTTAAAATATGGACAATTTTGATTAATAATCGTAACTCAAATAAAGAAAATGAACCTAACCTATCTTAAGGTAATGAAATTTCTCAATGTCAGGTTAGTTTAAGTTGAATGAAAAATAAAACAGTCACTAGTAAATATTCTATATTCTCTATAAAGATCACTGTTTCTAAAGCAGCATTATATAAACTTGAAGCTAGATTACAATACTGAAGCATCTAAGTGTTAAATAAATACTATTAAGCACACTGACTTTAATCTAGACTCTTCCATAAAACCCACTAAGACTTCACATCGACAATACTACAAAGTATTCCACAGTGTCCAGAGATATTCCATCCCAGGACACGACAATATATCAAAATTTTAATTTAACTAAATTTTATAGAACGATTGTATAACAATTGTATAAACTTCATGTATTAATGATTAAAACAGATCTGACCTTGATTACAAGAAAAAATACATTTATACTTGTTGAATTTCAGTATTCTGAAGAAAAAATACATAAAAGTTCTGAATTAACTAAATTTTATGGGACAACTGTAAACGTATTAATATGATGAACTTGAAGGCCTCAGTTGCTGAGACTTAACACTGATTTGGATCACTAGCCCTGGGATTTCAGAAATATGTATTAGTTTGCTAAGTTTATTAACTATTACTAATGGTTGTTTAATAATGGCTTCTCCAAACGCCTCACTCGAGAGTATTTCTGACGATTCGACAAATATTATCAAGATTGTATCCATAGTATTAAATAGAAGAAGACTGCGATGATGAAAAGGGGCGAAGAAGAACAATAAATCATATCTTCGAACTTGAACTTGAAGATGTTAATTTAAAGGGCTAATTTGGTTAATTATTCAATGCTCCAATGACAATTACCCAGTGTAACGTGGTAAAGTAGACAACGCTGCAAACATCGCTCCACGGTGCAACGAGGTTTCCAGAATTTCGGAGAGACCGAATCGAACCGTGAAGAGAGACGGTCGAGGTCTCCAGTAGAGAAGAGATTGTGATAGATATTTGTGCGGGTCCAGAACTGTGAAATCAAGACGATTAAGGTGCCCGGTAGAAGAGGTATATTTCGTACGCGATAGCAAATGAGAGTTTTTTCTATTTCTGTAAATTTTGTATGTGATCTATGTGAGCAAGAAAATAAGTTGTAAAATGTGTAAAAGTAAAAAGTGCTCAAGTACAACAAAAACGCACTTCTGATTACCAAAAAAGAGTAACTGCAATGGGAATGGTGCAAGACGGAGCCGCTGATCCAAAAGTTCAAGGAGGACGGCTGTCTAGATCGCACGATTATCAACAAATTCTGCTACGGCCAATGCAATTCGTTTACAATCTCAATAACCCGAGGAAAAGAAATAAGCGGAAGTACAGGAGGGCGAGGATCTGAACGGACCAGCATTCAAGTTGTGCGCCTTCTGAAAGTCTAAGAAGTTCACCGTCACGTTGAAGTGAAACAGCACGCCGTGAAATGCATTCAGCAGATCAAATGCATAGCCCGAGAAATGGATCGAGTGCACGTTCTCGTGCTACATCGCAAGAGAGTTCGATTCAGTTTTATTATTTCATGACACCGGCATAAGTTCCAGAAAAGTTGAGATTTGAAAACCGTTTTTTTTAGTTCAGATCTTGTTTTATTACAAGAAGAAATATATTTATACTTTTTAATTTCAGTATTCTAAAGAAAATATACATGAAAGTCCTGTAAACAGTAAACTGCAAACGTATAAATATTGTAATACTGATCTAATAATTAATTTTTCTTACTTGAAAATTTCGACGCTCGAATTATCCGAATGGCTTTCCTCGTCGTGACTCTCGTACAGTTTATACGTTTCTAGTAGACAGTCAATTAGTTTATGTGCACTAAGTTCAGCTCTGTTCTGTGCCAAAATTTGCAGAAGTTTTGTAATCGAGATCTTCCTCATTGGATACAGCAAATACGGACACGTATTACTCGATATTGCCATCGTATTTGAAAGCTTAAACTGCGCATCCAAATTCAATAAATGATTCATAATATTGGAAATTCTACAAAAAAAAATCAATAAATTCCACTTCGACAAATGTAAACGAAATAATTTACTTGAAGGTAATTATCAATATTTTATCGCCGTAGTAAATATAAAGATGCAAGACGTCGCTTAACATTTGCTGAAGTAAATAGCAAATTTTCAGCACCAAATTTCCGAGCAGCTGCTTCCACATATCCGCTTTCAATTTCAGTGGGAAATTCAAGTTCAAATCCTCCAAACATTTTTCATAAGCCTTCGGCTTCTCATCTAAATTACTTAAGATTTCGTTCAACTTCTAAAAAACGTTTCCACAATAATAAGTTGAAGTAAACAGGATGTTCATGGTACTCACATTGATTAAGTCTTCGCTATCGGCTGTGCTTTGTCGAACCTTCATCAAATTCGATTTGGATAATTCACCCACTAGTTGTCCTATTCTCAAGCAGATATCCGAAGAACTTTGTTTCAGCTCCTTGCATCTTTCGAATATGCCACACTGCTCATCATTTTCGACAGCCAACCATTTCACTATTGTCATCGTCGGATTCGCTTCGAAATTTGGTGCCCGGTTTTAGTAGTTTATCAGGTCATTATCATTGGAATTGCCTAGTTTTCGCTTTGGAATCAATAGCTCGTACCAAGCGGTAACGCATTTTCACTTTTCTCCACCGCATTCTTCCTTCTCCGCAGCACCCAAACAAAGTTTGCCCTTTCCGCAAACATTTGTTTTCATTGTAACGTTTCTATGGTAACGTACCTCTTGTTTGTATTTCATTAGCCCACGTTGTAATATAAACGTCAACGTCAATATACTTGCATTTAAAAATATCAATAATTAATATATTTATAATCAAGTAACAGTAATTTTGAGTATATTCGATCAATAATTTATGTGTTGTAGGAGTAGAATACTTGCTACATTACATGGTAAGTAATTTGAAAATCATTGATTTTTAGGTAAGAAATTATAGTATTTTAGGGCAGTTTAAAATTGGTTAATGGGCTGGCTCCGGCCCCCAAAGTGAATATGGTTTTTTGAGGTCAGTTGGTACGATTCATTTACAACGGTAGGAGAGAAGAAGATATGTCGGATGAAATCGGAATCAATCGGAACCTTTCAAATTTTTATTTTGCGAGAAACAAAATTTGATGGTAGTGTGCTGGTGGTAGTGTTTTTTCAAATTTG